CCGCATGGCCAATCGGTTAAAATTTTACCAGCCGGCTGAGACGAATCACTGATCAAAAAAGGGTTGGCTTGTGAATACAATTTATTATTTGTTTCTTTTAGCAACGAAATGGAGTATTTTTCATACTATTTCTCCTTTTAGTAGCAGAATGGTACATTTTTGTTGCAGGTGTATACAAAGTAGTACTTATGCAGAATAATAATAATGCTAGAAAACCTTGTTTTGTTTGTCTTTGACATTTTTATACACATACATATACTGTTTATTATTTTTTAGTCATTTCATAATACAAATGTAAAATTTACCAAAAAAATACAACTGAGCCCATGAACAGCATGTTGGTCACAGAGAAAAAGAATGGAAAAAATTAGAGAAAAAGTGCCGTGACCACTGCAGCTATTTGCCCATCGTTGTCGCTTCACTTGATAATAAAGTTTGATGTCCTGGCTCTTGCCACACACAGCGAACCGCTCGTAAGTCCTTTTCATTTTATTGTGTATTTAAAATCAGTCGCGCAGCTCACAATTGAAAATTAAATTAAAAAAATTAAAATTTTTAATTCAAAAAATTTAAATTTTTAATTGTATAGTTTTAAGAGTTGAAATTTCAGTCGAAGTTAAAAAAAGAGAAATGTCGAAATCACTTTTACCTTGTTATGCCTTGGTCAAACTCGCCTGCTTTGTTTGCTTACTTGTACAAAAGACAACAGCTGGCCGTTTTTACCAGTGTTGTCATTGAAAATTCCCCGGATCCGAGTTAATTCCCAAAAACATTCGTGTATTTGTTTGGCTGCTTATGCGCATTTTAAAGAGGAAAATGCATGAGTTAAAGCAAATAAAGGCTGTTTATGCAAATAAGTGAGCCCGTTTGTCAATCGTATAAACTTCGAATGGTAAGCAAAGCAAATAAATATTTTTTCTTGCTGTGCAAGAAAACTTTGTACTGTCGGTGTGAGGCTATCGGTGAGGAATCTCGAAAAAGCTTATGCAAAAAAACGGCTGCAGAGAGGGGCAATTGAAACTTTTGGTGTGCTAGTTGCGCTCTGTCGATAAATGCACAAATTCTCACTTCTCGTACAATACTGAAATAGCTCAGCGGGAAGACCTACGACTCTAGGCATCGTTGTGATTTTCTGATTTACTAAATTAAAATTGTTGAGTGCCGCTTAAAAATTTACTCCTATGCATGCGCGTTGAAGATGTTTGTGCTATCGCTATGTATCGCTGTGCATACATCGTTTTCTTACTTTTTAATCTTTCTGTATACTACATCTTCCTTCTTACTCATGTAACATTTTTATACCCGAGCGCACTTGTGCACAAGAGTATTATAACTTTATTCACATAACGGTTATTTGTAACAGGAAAAACGAAACGAGATAGATATAGGCAAATGTATACAAAAATAATCAGAATTAAAAGAGAAATCGATTAAGCGGTCACTGTCTGTCCGTCCGTCCGTTTGTGCACTCGATAACTCGAGTGAAAATTGAGGTATCTTAACGAAAATTGGTACATGCACTTCTTTCGGGCGTAGGACGGATGGACAAAATCGGACAATAACCACGCCCACCTCCCATATAACGGTAATTTTCAGAAATACGAAAACTGAGATAATTTATTAACTACTGAAGATTATTCACTCAAAATTGATATTTACAATAACTTTCTTCCAAACTTGGCAAAGTTGTTGGCCTTGGTACAACATACCAAATGGCTGAAAACTTTTTAAAATCGGACAATAACCACGCCCACATCCCATGTAACGGTAATTTAAATAAATATTAAATATAAATATTAAATATTCAAGCTAATTTATTCAAAGTTGATGCTTGCAACAATTCTTTATGCACTTATGATAAAATCGCTTATGATAAAATTTTGGAAAATGGGCGTAGCATCGCCTACTTATGATCACATATATGTATCTCGGTAACCGTTCTACCAATTTGTACCAAACTTGGTATTTTTATTGTGCTTGCCACATAAAAGCAAAACGTTGAAAATTATTGAAATCGGACTAAAATTACGGCCGCTTTTCATATAACGGTAAATTTCAGAAATGCTTGAAACGTCAATATTTGGAACTTTAGGGACGCTAACTTACTAAAGTTTGATACTAAAAACAATCCCTTGAAAAGAAGTAACATTTTTTGAAATTTTGGAAAATGGGCGTGTTATCACCCACATATGACTATATAAGTTTATCTCATTATGTCTAACTAAACGTTCTATCAAAGATGTTTAAAATAGGGGTGAAATCACGNAACTTTAGGGACGCTAACTTACTAAAGTTTGATACTAAAAACAATCCCTTGAAAAGAAGTAACATTTTTTGAAATTTTGGAAAATGGGCGTGTTATCGCCCACATATGACTATATAAGTTTATCTCATTATGTCTAACTGAACGTTCTATCAAAGATGTTTAAAATAGGGGTAAAATCACCCCAGCTTACCATGTACCGGTACTTTTCAGTTGGAAAACATATATTTAATACTTGTGCCGGGTTTTTAATGTTCGGCTCCGCTCGAACTTAGACTTTCTTACTTGTTAGTTTTAAAAATTTCACTAACCATTTTTGCGATACTGCCTAAGAAGTTTCACTTCAAAAAGTTTAAATTGTTAAGTTTTTGTATTTCTATAATTTTTACCTTCTTACGAAATTTTATCCTCCGTACCTTTTAAATAACAACAGCAAAAAGTGGACGTACAGCAGCATTTTTTTTACAATAATCTTTAAATTCCAATATTTCGAAAACAGTTAAGTTTTGGACATCATGTCATACATATAACCAAATTAATCAGAAATGATCTAAATAATACTGTCCATAAATATCTAGGGCGACTTTCCTGGTAACCCTGTAAATGTACATGTGCATGTATTACCATTTCAGGACTTGCCATTTACAATTCATAATTTCGCTGTAGAAAGTCATAAATTTATAGAAAACTGAATGAAAAGCACAAATTCCCCATTATGAGCCACCGAATACAATAAAATGGTTCTTATCATCTGCAGCGTAAAAATGTGGCATAGCCACTTCTCACCATTCTAGCGCCTGCCTAGTACATTGTATGTGTATGCAAATGGTCCAGCGTTGGAAAGCCATTCCAGCTAATGCGAAAATTTATTGTTTGAAAAACAAGTTAATAATTCATGATTTAGTAGCAGCAAAGCAAGCTCAAAATAGTGGATGGAGCAATGGAAAGTGTAACGGTAATTCATAAAGGACAATGAGAGTGCGGGATTTAATGTAACATTCGTATAAACTACGTAAGTTTGTATGTGCATTTACACGTACATGTACATACATATCGTCGTTTAAAGTACAAAACCGCGTATCGTAATTCTGCAAAACCGCGTAACTGACATTTGCTGCCAAAAATTGGATTTGCTCACACAAGAATTTGGCTCAATCCTCATCCATTCGTCCTGAAATATACTAGCCAGAAATGCGATTGCTTTATAAAAAAGAGAACCATTTTGAAATATGAGTGTTTTTACTCTCTAGAAAATAATTTATGCAAACTCACATACGCGGTTTTGCATTATCTTAATACCTGGTTTTGCGTTTTGTTGATACGCGGTTTTATACTTTCAACGACGATATACATAGAGATAAAAACACTCGTATTTCAAAATGGTTCGCTTTTTAACCGACTTCCAAAAAAGGAGGAGGTTATCAGTTCGTCGGAATATTTTTTTTATTTTTTTTTTTACTTTTTTTTTTATGTATGTTACCGCATAACTTTGGACCGCGTCAACCGATTCAATAATTCTTTTTGCAACGGAAAGGTAGTGTGTCAGAGGTGGTCCCATACTAATTTGGTTTAGATCCGATCATTGAATCATGAAATATATAGATATATATATATTTTTTTTAAGTCGGTTTTTTTTTGCTAAAAATTACTTGTTTATAAAGCAATCGCATTCCTGGCTAGTATATTTCAGGACGAATGGATAAGGATTGGCAGTTACGTGGTTTTGCAGAATGACGATACGTGGTTTTGTACTTTAAGCGACGATATATGAAATAGNAAGCAATCGCAATCCTGGCTAGTATATTTCAGGACGAATGGATAAGGATTGTCAGTTACGTGGTTTTGCAGAATGACGATACGTGGTTTTGTACTTTAAGCGACGATATATGAAATAGAGGTGGTCTACTATTTTCGAAAGTCGCTCCCCGCGCATTTTCGGACAGCTTGAGGATACAAAATAGCGCATTCAAACAAAAAAAGAGCACATGTAGTGAGGAAATCGGAGGCCCACAGAACCTACAGTATAAAAACTCATAAACAAATAGACTTTTATTTATTTGTTTATAAATCTTAAAACAGTCATTTTTCGTGAAAAAGTTTTATCAGCAGTATGATTCAGAATAAATATGCGAACATTTCTTTTGTGCACACTTTCAACCTACACCTATTGCTTAGAGCAGTTTTGTCTAATCAAAGTGAAAATTTTAATATTAACATTTATTTGAAGCGCAATAATAATATATGTATATAAAGTGACTGTGACTGCAGAATAGTTCGGTCGTGTTTTCTATCGCTCTGTGTTTATTTTCATTTATCTCGGAATAATGTCTTTATGTACTAATTGTACGGCCCATTGTGGGCTGAAAGATAAAATCTTAAACGCGATTTCGGATTTGGAAAAATTAAAAAGCATTTTTATCGCATTAATTGAACCAGAAAATGATAATTCTATTTCGCCGGCTCCTGCTACTAGTGGAAACAAAAGAACGACGCGTTCGCAAGCAAAAGCTAGTGATAGTGTTGTTGCTCAGCCTGGTAAATTGCCAAAGCGCGCTTTCACTGNCAGGCAGGTTCTGGAATCCGAGTGAAAGTGAATATGAAAATGAATCTATAACCGAGTGAATTTGATTTTGGTGTTCTGAAAACCGAATTTTTAGTTCATTTTAGAACTCGGTTTTTGATTCACGCTGAAAATGAACTAAAGCTGGTGATGAATAAGTAAAGATGAACTTAACAGCTGATAGCTGTCAATTTAACCAAAACAAATAATAAATTTTTGGATAAAAAAACGAAAAATGAGTGCATTAACTACGTTTGCGGCTATTTTAGTAGAAAATGAGAGACTTGCAGAAGAAACCCTTAATAGAAGGATTCTGCGCGATCATTCCAATCCTTTAGATGTCTCTGAATTGGTGTAAGTACTTGGTGTTCGCTCTTAGTGGCAATTTTGTACAAAAAATTTAAATAGGTTCGTATCCAGCTACCGGGTCAACAAAAGTGCATTTAACATGTTATTGGACGTTGTTGTTCTGCATTTAAAAGAAACATCCATTCCGGCGCAACTGCAATTGGCGGCCACACTAAAGTTTTTGGAGGAAGGTGGCTTCCAAAAGGCTGTGGGAAAAGATAGTTATATTGCAATGGGTCGTAGTACGGTTGCAAAAGTAATTACACGCGTGCTAAAGATTTTAGAAAAATATATATGTTCCCGGTGGATAAATTTAAGCATGACCGAAGACGAGAAAACGAAATCGAAACAGCATTTTCATCAAAACTTTGGTATACCCGGAGTCATTGGTTGCGTAGACGGGACGCATATTAAAATAACCAAGCCGCATAAAGATTCCAGCCTATTTTACAACAGAAAAGGTTATTTTAGCATCAATGCAATGATTGTAAGTGCTTATT